CCCCCTGTGAGTGCTGGGAATCGAACCCCGGTGCTCTGCAAGAGCAGCCAGTGCTTTTGACTGCTAAGTCATCTCTCCAGCCCCAAAGAGAACATCTTAGTCAGTTCCTTATAGCTTATCCCCTGTGAGTGCTGGGAATCGAACCCGGGTGCTCTGCAAGAGCAGCCAGTGCTTTTGACTGCTGAGTCATCTCTCCAGCCCCAAAGAGAACATCTTAGTCAGTTCCTTATAGCTTATGTCAATATAAGGGTTTAATATTGAGTTTGAACTCATGCAAGAAAGATACTATTCAGTAAATTAGGCACTTCATTTAACTTGAGTGAATCTGAGAAAAAAGATCCCCACATATTTTTCTGCTCGGTGTAGGCATCTGAGGCAGGATCAGCGTCAAAGGTCAGTGTAGTTCTGAGAGATGAGACCTGCACAGTTTCCTTGATGTTGTTCTGTGAGGTTTATGAGGACCCGTCCCCTGCTGTTCTAAATCCTTTGCAAATATTAATCCATTTAATTGTGAAAACAATGAAGAGTGTTACTCCATTTTTATGTATACTAGCAGGGAACCAAGGCCCAGAGGAGTTCAATAACCAGCCAAGGTTACTTACCAGGCAATGGAGGGGCTTAGATTTCAATCCAAACAGCTTGGCTCAGAGCTATAAATTCCTAATCATTCTATTTAGATACTTTAATTTTCTCCCCAGAAATAAAAAATAATTGTTTTTCTGACTTTAGACTCTGAGTCTTATTTGTACGCCGTCAGGATGGGAGAGTGTGTTCACATTGCATCTCCAATAAATCACAAAGTTATTTGTAAACAGCCTTTCAGTTCCTCTTTTACCTTCTAGATCTAAGCCAGTGGTCTGCTGGTGAAAAGCTGTGCCTTGTGTTTCCCACAGTCTGCAAGGAACTCTAATCACTACTCTGCATTTTCCCTCCACCGCCAATATCCTTACATTGGTGGCATGCCCTCCCTCTCCCACAGTCTGCAGGGAGCCCTTTCTAAGCACCAGCTGGCTTCTTCTCTCCCCTACCCTTCAGTAGCCCCCACTCTGACAGTCCTGTTTTTAAATAAATGTTCCATTTATGATGTGCAAGTGGCAGTTCATTGGTAGCGGCTTCCAGATGTCCTTCCGGCTGCAGGACTTTTCTTGAAGGGTCAATCAAATCCCCCGGGAGCAGGGCAGATCCAGTCTAGAAAGCATTCATTGATCAGTCCCATTAAATTGGACTTACGTTTGTCAAACTTGTATTTTAAAGCTTGTTATTACTCTTGACACTTGAATCAAAGTTGCATTACATGTGGGACCTCTTCAGTGTTCTATGGCGCCTCACCTTGGACTGTTTCTCTTTTAATTGCAGATCTGTCTCTGGCTGTACAGAAATTTTCCCAATCACTTCAAGACTTCCAGTTTGAATGTATTGGTGATGCTGAAACGGACGATGAAATCAGTATTGGTGAGTGCCATACTTCAAGTTTGACTTCAGACAATAATTTCATTGAAATCAAACAGACGCCACACATACCTAAATAATAAATATCTAAAATATTCTCTTACTTTAATAAAACTCAAAAAAATGTCTTATACATTGTGTCTAAACTGACGTATTTTTCCATAGGAATATTATTTAATTACTCTAACTCAGGTCAGCCCTCAGAAAATACGGATAATGGTGTTTGACCCTGCTTTCAAATATGGATTGGGCATGTATTATTAAATATACTTGGTATAGGATTTAAGAATTATCTTTCTGTTTTTCTTAATACTGGTTTCATTGTTAATATTAGTACTTGTTTTAGAAAGTAAACCAGTCATATTTTGTCATGTTGTGTTAAACTAGTGTTCTAGCAGGACAGAGAATATTACCAAGAATCCAGGGGCTTGAACCCTAGTCAGATTTTTGCATAGCCATTTAGCAACCAGACTCCTGGGAAAGCATTCTCCCAACTGAATCAAATGGTTCCATTTCTTGTAAAATGGTAAAGCTGCATTATGTGGTCCGTGAGGGTTTATCTACAGCTGAACTTTCACTGTTTGACGATCAGATTCATGGACCATTTCCTTCCTCATCTTTAGAGAGCTCCCCTTTCTAGTTTATAGATGGGGGCAGAGGTCTGTTTGTAGGCTGGATTAGAGATGTCACACAATCAGAAGTGTTCAGAATTTGAGTGGACATTACAGAGGTTAATACTAAGTGTATCCATGTTCTAGTCATAACAATATGATATTATAAGTACTTAGAAGAGTAATTCCCAATCTATTTGTGTGTATGAAGCATCTGGAGGTCTTACTAAGTGCAGATTACAGTTCAACAAGACCCAGGCTGAAGGTTCAATTCTGCATTTCTTTTATATTTTAATTTTGAGACAGGCTGTCCAAGTTTGAGGCCAGCCTAGGAATGGCAACAGCAAAAAGCCCCCAAATTATTTTACTAATGATGACAGTCTCAGTAGGAAGTCCTAACCATGCTGGGAAAAGAAGGCAATATTTCCCCCGTGAAAGCCAGGCTGTTCTTGATATGGTGCATGCATCGCCCACTTAGTCTCAGGAGCTGCTGCGGTGAGGGTCAATGGGAAGAGACTGCAGTCTTTGGTCAAGCTGTCTTAGTGTGGAATTCCCACCAGACTACAGGACACTCTTTCTGCCTTGGTCTGGGTTGATGGGGAGTCTGTAGGAAGTGGGGCGAGCCCTGCTTGCTCCATGGATGTCAAGCAGTATATTCCCTCTCTCTTTCATCTTGGGATGAGTGGGAAGTTCAGCATGAATGGTCGTGTCCCATTAGGGTCTGGAACTGTAGTATTATTGCTGGTCACATTGGTGGTGCTGGAGAGCTTCACCCAAGCTTCCATGTGCTGCTCTACTCAGTGGCCTTCTGGCCCATGCTCGTCACTTTTCCACATCTGTGCTGTAAATATCTGACTTCCAAAATAGGCAGACAAAGCCTATTGTGTTACTAAGATAATGACAAATGAGCATTAATTTTTTGAAAAATAATAATCACATAATCATTATTTTTACCTTGTTATAAAACTAAATTCTCTGAGGCAAAGGCCAGATCCCTTTGTAAAAAAAAAAAAAAAATTAAGCTGTAGCATTTGACTTAAGGCTTAGCACAGGAAAGACTCTGAAGACATGATTTAATAGCTTTTATTTATATATAACATTTTGTAATAGAATGAAGCATATAATTCATTATTTTCCTTTGGAAGGGATTACAGAAAATACTTGTGAGTTTTTATAGACATGATTTTTAATGGTTTTGTGACTTTTTCCATCAGATTCACACTCACAAATTTACAAAGTTGTTTCTGGAGTCTGTTCAGTTTACTCTGCATTGCTGTCTACTGAGACTCTTGAGAGTGCACGAGCTACCAGGATATTCAACTTCCCGCCAAACTGCAGCTGTTGTCTCCCTTGAAGTCACATATTAAGAGTGTAGGAGGTGTACTGTGTGGCGAGGTTTTTAGCTTTCGTCTTCTGCAGACCTCCAAGCAGGTATTAGACCGCTTCCCAGGGTTGTAGTGATCTCCCCACAATGTTTGACTCTTTCCATTTTGGCAAAATGAATGCTGTGTGTTATGCTTGCTTGCAGATTAGATTGGAAATGTGTGTATTGATCAGTAGGTGAATGCTTACTGTAGGCAGTCAATGTTTAACTAAATTCCAATGTTTAAGGGCTTTGAGGAAAGTGGTAATAGATGAGACGGTGGATAATGTGGAGGGATGTTGTTCCTTGCTAATTTTACAGCAGAACTAAGGGCTGTGTACTGTGAATATGAATTAAACACCAATGTTTTATTAGGAAAACCAATCTCAGAACAAAGCTACTTATTTTATTCACTTACTTTTGTGTGGTGCTAGGGATGGAACACAGGAGACTTCCCTATGGTCTTCTACCACCAAGACACATCTCAAGCCCTGAGCAAAATGATTTATTATGAGTAGAAATTATTTTTGTAATGGCTAATGTAAAACTACAGGCAACTTTCCCTGTGCCAATTGCCCAATTTTCGCTTTCATGAGACAGGGTCTCTCTTTAGCCCCAGCAGGCCTGGAACTCACTACGTATACCAGGCTGGCCTCGCTCTCACACAGATTTGCGTACCTTTGCCTCCCGAGGGCTGGAATTAAAGGCCCGTGCCACCATGCCTGGCTTCACTCAACATTTTTCCTTTAACTCAGTCTCCAAATTACTGTCAGGGTTTTAGGTAACTTCTTTGGTGAATGGAAGTGTTTAGCTAGTCTCTCCTAACATGGAGAAGTACCAGGTCATCCCAGTCTGTTGTCCCGAGGACAGAGACTTGAGAGAGATGCATGGCTCAGGCTAATGCAAGGGACTGCTGTAGATGGAATATGGGATGCCCTTCCTGGCCTTCAGCCACTTCACTCCTGCAAGGGAAGGTGCAGGGTTTCGGATAACCTCGCCCTAGTTTGTTGAAGCCTTAGTTTGAATTTTTGCTTATTCCTTCTGATTGAATGAAACAGACACAACAGGGACTTCTAGCATAGACTAACAGCCAAGACACTCAGCCACATGCCTTGAGGTTTACCCATGACACAACTGTAAAATCTGATGACTTAGGAAAAAAAGATCGTGCCTCAGTAAGCTGTGTCAGGGCAAAGTGACTGCTAAAGTCACTGGCATTGGCAGACTTCTTGTGTGCAGAGTTGGTGGCTGGAAGCGGGGGCGCCGGAAAATGAGCAAAATGTTTGGATCCCGTATACTCCGTTGGAAGGGACTGAAGTATAGACTTTGTAAACTGAAGAACAGAAGGTGGGTTACCGTGTCACTTTAGTTCCCTCGTTTATCAAAGCTATTCTGGGTCCGGTCTGAAATTCTCATCTGCTCTTCAGCTCGCCTCTTCTGCCCACACTCAGTACCCTTTTGACCTTGTACTTGTGTGTCTTTGTGTGTGTGGTATGTGTGTGTGTCTGTGTGTCTGTGTGTGTGTAAATGAGACATGGTGTGGAAGGAAACTAACTGGAATTAGTTATCCAGGACTCCATGGGGAATTCCTGGGGCCCTGAGAGCCGTCTGCTGTCTGCTGTGCTGAAGTCCCAAACAGAGCATCACACTCTGCTTTCTCCTTCCCAGCCAAACACAGCAAGAGGCATTGCTTCTCTTATCTGAGAACAGATGAGCCATGGGCTTTGCCTTGCACGCGTTCACACGCGTGCTCTGTCTGAACAAGTGGAGGCAGCTTGCTGAGTCTGGCCAAGTCACCTCCCCAACCTGGTACCACGAGTTTCGCTTTTTATACTGGTTTTTGAACTGCAGTGAGGGTGGTTAGGAATCTGGAATCAGAGATTGGTGATGGTGGGAAGCGAGTGATTATCAACTGCTGTAAAACTTTAATTCTTCTCTCAAGTGATATATTCCTGAGGGTCGGCTAAACACAAATGTGTGATCATGAAGCAATGTGCCAGTGCAGCCACACAAGACCCGCCTGTCAAGTCCCAGTACTCAGCCACGCCGAGTTGATGGTGTTCTAATACAATCTAATAATCTGTATAGCCTTACAGCTAGACTTGTAGGAATAAAAGGGTCTGTGTACAGAAAACAAAATCCTATTCTGTTGAATACTGGGTTTATATTGAATCAGTTCAGATCTTTCTGCATTCAAAGATATTCCTGTGAGCTCACCTATGAGATATTGTCTTACTAGGTTAATTAAGCACTTGAGAGTATAGGGTAAGGAAGGCTGTGCATCTTTGCACATTACTCCAGAATTTAGTTCATACCAAAGATGCAACCTGTAAGTTACTCTGCTCTGTTCCTCTGTTTAGTACCTATATTTTGAAATAATTTTCTAAAATCTTGTTTTTGTGTGCATGCACATGTGAGTTCATATGTGTGAGTGAAGGTGTGTGTGTGCTGTGGCATGCATGTGGAGGTCAGAGACAGCCTCAGCATCAGTTCCCGCCCTCCAGCCTCTTTGAGACAGGGTCTCTTTGCTGTCCTCAATTCCCAGATTGGCTGGCCTGAAACCTTCCAGGGATTCTTCTCTGCCTCCGTTCTCACTGTAGATGCTCTGGGATCACAGATGTGTGCCACCATGGCTGGCATTTACTTGGGTTCTGAGGATTTGACTCCAGGTTCTCATGGTCTTGTGGCCAGTGCTTTACCCACTGAACCATCTCTTTAGCCGTTGAAATCATTTTTAAGCTCAAGTCTGAAAAAGAAGTCTAGACTTTTCAAACATTTAGATATTTTTAGTCAAGCTGAACTAGTGCCAATACAATATTAGTCTTAAATATGAGGCAAAGTTTATTTACCCTGTGTAATCCTGGAAGCCGTGGATGCGGAGCTGTGCACAAACAGCTTGGGCAGGGATGTACTGTGGCTCGGAAGCCTCTCAGCAATGTCTGGGAGGACGTGAGCTTTGCACTCAGGAGATTAAACATTTACCAAGGAAAGTCAGTTTGCTAGTAAACATTTTAGGTTGGGACTTCATT